GTCGGGCAAAAAATCCAAACAAGGAACCCCCCATATATATACCATGTGTTCCATGAGATTAGAAATTAAGCGAAAATATTCTCATTCTGACGTTAAATCTAAATATAACTACACATATAGTCACATACATAAATCAATCCACTTCCTCAATAGGTGCAGAAAGTTGCGCGTCATAAATATTCGATCTCCCGAAAATTATCTCCGATGTCTACACTTAACCATCTAAAACGTAAATATTCCCACTTAACCCCTAACTAAAAGGAACAAGTACATCGAATAAAAAGTCCAAACAAGGAACCCCTCATATATATACCATATGTTCCAAGTACTTAGGAGATAAGTGATAATACTCTAATTTTAGTGTTAAGTATAAACATCGTCATACATGCAAATCATAAATTATATATATAAGTCATACACAAATTCATTTTACCTGCTCAAACATGTGTGGGTAGTCGCGACGCATGTCCTCCTCGTGCTCCCAAGAAATCTCCTCAACGCCTCTTCGGTTCCACTGGACTTTCACCAAAGGAATTACCTTGTTTCTAAGCCTCTTGTCCTCTCTGGAAAGTATAGCAACTGGAATCTCAATAGTAGATAAATCATCCTGGAGCTCAATCTCAGGTGCATCCAATACTCTCTGCTGCTCCTCATCATGCAAGTGCTTCTTGAGCATAGAAACATGAAATACATTGTGTATACTAGACATTGGTGCTGGGAGATCTAGTCTGTATGACACGGCTCCAATGCGCTCCAAAATCCGGAAGGGTCCAATATATCTCGGTGCAAGCTTTCCCCACCCCCTGAATCGCTGAATGCCTTTTATAGGCGATACCTTCAGCATAACTGCATCTCCAACCTGAAACTCCAAGGGTCTTCGTCTCTTATCTGCATAGTTCTTCTGCCGACTCTGGACGGCTAAAATCCTATCTCTGATCAATGCTACCTTCTCAGTAGTCTGTCTCACTAGCTCTGGTCCAAGCATTAAGCTATCCTTCGGCTCTGCCTAACATATCGATGATCTACAATGTCTCCCGTACAATGCCTCATATGGGGTCATACCGATCGTCGCTTGATAACTATTGTTATAAGCGAACTCTATCAGTGGAATATGCTCCTCCCAGCTGCACTGAAAGTCAATGACACAAGCCCGCAACATGTCTTTCAACACCTGATTCACTCTCTCTGGCTGACCATCTGTCTGTGGGTGGAAAACACTACTGTAAGATAGTCTGCTGCTGAACGAATCCTGGAAACTCCTCCAAAAATACAAAGTGAACACTGAACCTTGATCCGACACGATCGTGTCTGGAACTCCATGAATCCGAACTATCTCCCGAATAAATATCCTCGTATATGCCTCGGCGGTATAAGTAGTCCTCACTGGAATAAAATATACTGACTTCGTCAACCGGTCTACTATCACCCAAACAGAATCATTCCCCTTCTTCGACTTCGGCAACCCTATAATAAAATCCATAGAAATATCCGCCCATTTCTACTCTGGGATGGGTAAAGGCTGAAGTGTTCCTGCTGGTCTCTGATGCTCTGTCTTTACCTGTTGGTATGTAAAACACTTAGCCACATACTCTACAATCTCTCTATGCATACCACTCCATCAGAAGTGTCTTTTCAAGTCCTTGTACATCTTAATGGTCCCTGGATGTATTATGTACCTAGTACGATATGCCTCATCAAATAACTCTCTCTTCAACTCGGCACTGGATGGTATAACCAGCCTACCCTTCATCCGTAGACCTCCATATGTTCCAATGGTCTAATCAGCCTTAGGCTCTTTGGAAATCTCATCCTTTCGGATTTGAATTCAAGAGTCTTCCAGCTGAGCTCTGACTACTCTGGTACTCCAAGATGGCTGAACTGACACTGCTCCCAAAAATGCACTGGCTCCACCGATCTCGGGTCTGAAATCAAACTGGCTAAGAGTAAGAAGATCTCTATACAATGAACACCTCAAAGCCGAAACCCGATGTCGACGCTTCCTACTCAAAGCATCTGCTACGACATTCGCTTTCCCCAGGTGATACTGAATCGCGAACTCGTAGTCCTTGATAAACTCAATCCATCTCCTCTGTCTCTGGTTGAGTTCCTTCTGAGAGAAAAGATATTTTAGACTCTAGTGGTCTGTGAACAGCTCAAACTGCACTCCATACAAGTAGTGTCTCCATGACTTCAATGCAAATATTACTGCTGCTAACTCTAAGTCATGAGTGGGATAGTTATGCTCATGCACCCTCAACTGTCATGAGATATATGCTACTATCCTCTGAGCCTACATCAATACACTTCCTAATCCTGCCAATGATGTATCTGTGTAGACGACGAATGTCCTGTCGCTACTCAGAATAGTCAAAACTGGTGCTGAAGTCAACTTAGTCTTCAAGATATCAAAGGCATTCTGGCACTACGCACTCCAAATGAACTGTACGCCCTTCTTCGTAAGGCGTATAAGTGGCGTCGAAATCTTTGAGAAGTCCTGGATGAACTTCCTGTAATAACTGGTTAAGCCTAAGAAGCTACAAATCTCTGTCACCATCTTTGGCGGTTCCCAATCAAGAACTGTTGTAACCTTAGCCGGGTCCACTGTTATGCCCTCTCTACTGATGACGTGGCCGAAAAATCTGACTTCTGAAAGCCAAAATTCACACTTGCTGAACTTAGCATATAACTGATGCTCCTGTAGAGTCCTCAAAGCTAATCGTAGGTTTTCCTCGTGGTCTTCCTCCGATCTCGAATAAATGAGGATGTCATCGATAAAAAAAATCACGAACTGATCTAAGAAGGGACGAAAAACCCGGTTCATCAAGTCCATGAATACCGTGGGTGCATAGGTCAGTCCGAATGGCATGACCATGAACTCGAAAGATCCATATCGAGTAAGAAAAGCGGTCTTGGGGATATTCATCTCCCGAACCCGCATCTGATGATAACCAGAACGAAGATCAATCTTCGAGAAGAACTACGCTCCCTACAACTGGTCGAACAAGTCATTAATTCTAGGTAATGTGTACCTATTCTGGATAGTGACCTTGTTCAACTCCCTATAAAGGCTATAATCAATGCACAACCTCATACTACCGTCCTTCTTCTTCACGAAGAGGACCGGTGTGCCCTATGGAGAATGACTCTGACGAATAAAACCTTGAGCTAATAACTCGTCCAACTGGGTCTGAAGCTCCCACATCTCAGCTGGTGTTATGCGATAAGGTGCGCGGGATATATGGGCTGTGCCCGGCTGCAACTCAATACAAAACTCGACCTCTCTCACAGGAGGTAACCCAGGTATGTCCTGAAAGACATCCTGATACTCTTAGACAACTCTAGTCTCCAATAAATCAACACCCTAATCCCGTCGCATCACCTCCTCGATGTACGCCAGAAATGATTTTGCAAAACGGTTGCCCTGAGAGGTTGACACAATCATCTTAGACCCATCGGACGCCCGCAAATTGACTGTCTTCACAAAGCAGTCAATTCTAACATGGTAAGAAGACAACCAATCCATACCAAGGATGACATTGAACTCGGACATATGCAACACTATCAAATCGACAACGAACTCCGACTCATCTAAACTAATAGTACACCTCCTACAAATGCTCTCTAGAAGAGATATCTCACCTAAAGGGGTGGAAATTGATAAAGGGGTGTCTAATAGCTGAGTTACGAGCTAGAGTCTAGACATAAAATCATACGAAATAAAGGAATGTGAAGCTCCCGAATCGAAGAGAATACGGGCGGGAAAAGAATTCACAAGAAACGTACCATTCACTACTGCTCCGCTAGCTCCATGATCATGCAGTACTACCGCATATACTCTGCCTGTGACCGAAGACTGCTCTGCTACTAGTACTGGAGAATACGGTACTATCTGCCCCTGAGGAACCTCCTGAACTGCCCGAATCTACCCCTCAGTCTTTTGTGCTGCTGGCGGTGCCTCAAGTCTCGCCTGCTGGCCCTGAACTCTGCCTTGTCGTCACTGCTGCTGCTGGTTCGGGCCCTTGCCCTGCTGAGCTCCTGCTGGTGCGTTGCGACACTCCGATGCCTTATGTCCGACCTTGCGGCAGTTATAACAAACTCCCTGGAACTTACGCTGCTTAGGGCTGTGCACGGTTCGGTCCAAACCGAAAAACCAACCGAACCGACCGAAAATTAACGGTTCGGGTCGGTTTTAGTTCTAAGTCAGTTCGGGTCGGGTTGAAAAATTTTCAATCCGAACCGCCCCGAACCGACCGCTTATATCACTCACTTATTTTGAGTCCCGTAAGCCATTACCCGACCCGTTCTCCACTTCGTATAAAATCGCAAAAGTCTTTACCCTAAACCTAACTCTCTCCAACCTCAGCCTCCCAGCGTCGCCGCTCCAGCCCTAGAGGTTAGTCCAGGGCAGACTCCTGAAGAAGGTTCTGGAATCCATTAAGGATCTGGTCACTGATGCCAACTTTGACTGCTCCTCCTCCGGCTTCTCCCTCCAAGCCATGGACTCCAGCCATGTGGCGCTCGTCGCCCTCCTCCTCCGGTCCGAGGGCTTCGAGCACTACCACTGTTATCGCAACCTCTCCATGGGCATAAACCTCAATAACATGACGACATCATCACCATCAAGGCCGACAGCGGCAGCGACACCGTCACCTTCATGTTCGAGAGCCCAAGTAATCAACCTTTCTTCTTCTTTCCCCCACCCCCTCCATAAACCCTAGAACCCAGACTTTTGGGGAAACTTGCTTTTCCTTTACTTAAATTTGTTGGCTTTGGCTATTTATAGATCAAGACAGGTTCTATGGCTTCAAGATGAAGCTCGTGGACATCAACAGCGAGCATTTGGGGATTCTAGATGCTGAGTATCAAGCGATTGTGAGGATGCCCTCTTCAGAGTTCTCTAGGATCTGCAAGGATCTCAGCAGCATTGGTGACACATGTATATACTTTTTGGTAGAAATGTAACTATTTTCTCTAGGCTTGGATTTATGTGAGCATTTCGTATGATAGCAATCTCTACTGTGGTTGTGGGATTTGTAGTTGTTATTTCAGTAACAAAAGAGGGTGTTAAGTTGTCGACAAGAGGAGATATTGAAAGTGCTAATATTGTTTGTAGGCAAAACACAGGCGTCGACAAGGTATGTTGCTAAATTTATTTCCATTAATAATAATTACAGGCAAAATACAGGAGTCATTATTGTTCTTTGTTATCTTGATCACTGTTCACTTGAATTTGTTATTGAATCGTATACTCTTATTTATTCCTTATTTTTTTGTTTATTGCATACTGTTATTTTGAAATTTTGTTGTTAAAACATTGACTCTGTACAAGTTGTTGACTGGTTGATAAACCTTTATGTTGAGAACCTAAAAACCGAACCAAACCGCCCCGAACCGACTTGCAATGGTTCGGTTCGGTTTTGAATTATAGGCGGTTCGGTTCAGTTGTTCAAATTTTGTTAAAAACCAAACCGAACCGAACCGTGCTCAGCCCTAACGCTGCTGATGCGCTCTCTGATCATGCTGGGGTCCCTTCTTATGAGGACCTTGTTGCTACTGGTAGGATCCAGAAAAAGGTCTCTTGTTCTTCCCCTTATCCCCGGTCTGTCCTGCCTTGGTCTTTCCTTCTTTATCCTTCTGGAACATGGCAGTCTTAATCTCCTGTGAGGTGGCGGCTTCTTCTACCTCTCGAACTAAATAGAACTTCCTCGAGACGAGGTAACGACGGAGATTAGGGCGGAACCCTGCTAAGAACATCTGAGCTTGGCGCTCTCCTGTCTGCCACATGCCCGTGAAGTGTAACAACTCCATAAATCTGCTCTCAAAATCTGCCACTGACATATCCCCCTGAGTCAGCCGAGACAACTCAAGCTCCTTCCCAGTCCGTGCTGCAGAAGAAATATACTGCTCATCGAAGAAATAAACAAAGTCCTCCCACGTGAGGGTCATACGGTGCTCTGGGGTGAACTGAAGCCTATACCATCTCCCAACGTCTCCCTTCATACTGTAGGATGCCAATCGCTGCTTCTGGACCGAATCCACATTAAGTATATCGAGGATGTTACTCACATCCTCCTTTCACTTATGGGCTGCAAGAGGATCTGCTGACCCCTGGAACTCCGGTGCTCTCATCTTTTGATACCTCTCAACCATACGGAGCCAAGCCTCCTGCTCTGCTACTCTATCGGGGACTGCTGATGGAATAACTGCAGGTGTGACCTCTGGGGGTCTCTCACTGATAGGAACTGCGGGTATCTCCTGCGGCTGATCTGCTGCTGTTGGTGGTGGTGGTATCGGTGGCGCGATATGACTCGCCACAAGCTCCCCAATTGCTGCCATCCTAGCTATGATGGGAGCCATGAGATCAATAAGATACTGGGGAGCCTGCTGCGGCTCAGGTGGTGCCTGCTGTGGCTCGGGTTGAGCTTGCTGTGGCTCAGGTGGAGCTTGCTGTGACTCTGCCTGTCCAGCTCTCCGAGTACGAGGTCTACCACGTCCTGCCATCTCTCTCTGATCATAAGAAAACAAGAGTTTATGAGTCCAAAATAACATATACACATACGTAGCATATCACAATATGATTTTCACAATAATTTAGTATTCACCCAAATACTTTAAGTTTACACAAAATAGTTGTCATAAAAAAAATATCCACAAATTTTGAGATAAATAAACTACAAATGTGATAGGGCAATATACACAAAGAGTAATAGACAATGGCGATATAAGATAAACATAAAAGTAAATGAACGCGATACCAACTGTGACGCCCCTGGGTTCACACAAGGCTGCAGTCCAAGGTGAAACCAAGAATATCAAACCCTTCATGCACCACACCGTGCAATAACATGTTTTACCATCACAATTACTATCTCTCTAGTAGGGTCAATAACAGATGTAGGTACAAAGCAAGTAGAAGATAAATACAAGAGATAACTGATGAAATGATAGAGATCAAATAGATATTTCACCATCCAACGTATTGAAATAGAACTCAATGCCTGAAATGAAAATACTGAAGTTCCAACAAGTCTCAAATACTTAAAGTCTGAAAAAGAGGAAATAAGGTACACAGCCTTTACAACTTCTAGAAATAAACTCTCAAAATGTCTAAACAAAGCCTACAAAGGAGCTCAAAAGTAAAATATAACTATAATAGAATAGCTGAAGCTAAAGTGCCTCGCCATCAACCTGCAACTCTCCAGGCTCCTGGCTCGCTACCTTAAAGGGGGGAGGGACAACGAGCGTCAAAGCGCTAGCGAGCAACATCACAACCAACCCCAAGGGAAAATGGCTCGTTGTATACAAAAAATACAGTTATAACATATATATAAAATCACAAATCCTATTTAGATAATTACAATGTGAGCATAAGTACGTCGAGTGAAATAATCCAAACAAGGAAACACTCATGTATATATCATGTAGCTCAGATTGTAAGTACCTATGTATAAGAGGATTTTAGTATTTAGGAAGTTACAACACGAGCATAGGTACGTCGAGCGAAATAATCCAAACAAGGAAACCCTCATGTATATACCTTGTATCTCAAATTGTACATCCCTATATACCAAACCCAAAATCTAATACAAGAAACATTAATAAAAGAAGGCAAACTCATCTCAGACTTAATTACGGTGTCGTGTCACAACTCGTATAAATGTCGTGTCCAGCCTATGTAAGTGTCAGTGTAAACTCTTAAGGTCTAAACTGATGTAATGGGTGTCCAACACATGGACTACATATGAAAACTGTCCAACACATGGACTGAATGTGATAAATGTCTAACACATGAACTACACATCATAATTGCCCAACACATGGACTAGATGAAATATATGAACAGGTGCACATACCCTATTTTCTCACGTGTCTCGGTACGCAAACCTAAACTCGTGTCCGCATGTCATATCACATATAATGATACATGTTATAATAAACCTCTAATACTAGTCATTCGAGGCAACTTCTCGTTCATGTTATAGCACGCAACAACAATAAACAAACATATACAGTTTCAATGAAACTGAAAAGGAAACTCAAACAGATCCTAACTGAAGAAATACTAAAAATCTCCTCATCAGTTGACTCATGAGTCGACTATGATTGGTCGACTAACAAAACACAAACTGAAGTTTTCTCCATCAGTCGACTCATTGGTCGACTCATTAGTCGACTCATAAGTCGACTCATGAGTCGACTCATTGGTCGACTGAGCAGAAAATCCCCAGTTTTCTGTTTTCGAAAATTTTCTGCAAAAATTTATAAAACTAGTGTTCTCTTTGATCATGTCCAGCAATATATATTCGATTCTAACACATGTATATCAACAGAAACGAAAGATTTGCATGTAATATTTTGCATTAAAACCCTAAACATATTTCCTCATGTTTAAAAATGTATTGAAACCATTAAATCACAATAAAAATTATGTTTAAACAAATTCCAGATCTGGATCTTAATTTATAAATTCGTTTGTGAGCTTTTATAAACTGAAAACATTCGATTTTCGCATCATATGCTATAAAGATCTATTTATATATGCAAATAGTAATTTAAGCTCAATAAAACCGAAATAAAACCAAATAAGACTATACAAACAATGGGTGTACTCGCCTCTGGTATGTTAACCAATTCCTGAATCCGAGAGAGAAAGATCTCCTATGCTGCACCTCGTCAAATCCGGCTGAAATCCTCCGAAAAATCCCCCAAAAATTGCCAAAAACAAACTAGGGTTTTGAGGGGAGAGAGAGGCTAGGGTTTCTCTGATAACTGATGGGTTTCGGGTTGGTTTCGGGTAGGAGAGATTTTATATAAGCGGTCAAACCCGAAACAAAACCAACCCAACCCGCAAATAAAAGAAAACCTGGAAACCAGCCCGTCAGTCAACTCATAGGTCGACTCATCAGTCGACTCATTAGTGGACTCATGAGTCGACTCATAAGTCGACTGAGCAGACACTTATTTTCAGATTCGTGCATGTTTTGTTATTCAGCCAAAACCAATGCACGAACTCTATGAAACCACACTTATACATTTTTGTTATTCAGCCAAAACCAATGCACGAACTCTATGAAACCACACTTATACATGTCTAGAAACTTGTTACCAAGTATAAAACCACACTTATACATGTCTAGAAACTTGTTACCAAGTATATCCATGACCTCAAGTAATTTACCACAAACAGAACTATTTATCACTAATTGTTCACATATACTTCTAACCGGAGTTTTACAAACACATCTTCATAATAATATGGGGCCTCGTTTTTATGCATATCCTTTCAGATTGAATAACATGCAATTGTGTATCATTAGGACGCATATCAAATATCATGGAGGAGGCTAACTCAAGATAGACTAATTATTTGGTATATCAAACTTACACAAATCATTTAAAAAATTTAATTATCTCATCAGCTAGCTTAATAACGAAAAGTAATCTATTCTTTCACTTTGACTTATAATTAAGCAATCATGTAATTTAAGATGGATCCATTAGTACCCACTATATCAAAGAGGAAAATCGAATAAATCATTTTGTAGAATTTCCAATCCATAATAAAGTGCTAAAAAACTAGCCTTTTTTAGACAATTGCATCTAAAGAGTAAATATCTACGCAATTTGATATCTAACCCAATCAAAATTCAGTTTTTACTCTCAAGAATCCTACTTCACATCACCAAATTCATATTTTTCAACCAAAGAAATAAAATTTCCCCCTATTCTCTTTAGAATTTAAACCGATAAGGGAAGAGATTAGGAGCTAACCTAGAGAAAAAAGTGGAAAAAGGGAAGGGGCCGATACTAGTGGAGGCGTAGACGACAAGATCGACTCCGGCAATCTTAACGGTGGTGAGAAGCAACAGAGCAATCCAGTCGCTAGAGAACGAGACTTTGATGGGCTTCTCCATGAAAAAGAAGGTAAGAAATCCCAGAACCTGCGTCTTCTTCAGAGTGCAGTCCTCTAGCTCTAGGCGGAAGAAGATGCGTCATGGTCGGTGAAGCGATCGGAGGATCGATGAAGTGGGTTAGGGATTTTTGATGTTTAGGACCGATGATGAAGTAGAGAGATTATAATTTGTAGAAGGGTAATTTTGGAATTGTTTTTTTCTTACTCTAAATACAATACATGTGTAGACAATGTTTGGGAGAATGGGTTCAAAAATAAGTGGTTGGACTAATTTTGGGTGTATGAATTTTTATTAAAGTCAATGGGTTTTTTAATAAGTGAGGATAAAATTTTGGGTTCAAAGACCAAAACTCGTTTATATGTTGCTAAAAATTGACACATTAGTACTCTTGATTACGCAAATGTGAAATTTTTTTATCTAAATATATACATATGGAACTAATATTGTTAGTATTGTAACTGTCTAACCATTAGTATTTGTTGAATTTCACATTAAACATATCTCATCTTTATTTTTTAAATTAAAATAGGTTAAAAAAATAATTTTTGTTGGTTTAATATTAAATTTAACAAATATTAATAGTTAAAAAACTCTAAAATTAGAATTTAAGTATCATGAAGAAATATTCGGGTGAAAATTTTCGTGTTTGCATGTTCGATGGTACTAAAATGTTGCATTTTTTCACAATTTATGATATTTTCCTGTGGCAAAGTACAACACGTGGTATATAAATGGGAAAATTGTTGTGATATCAAAGTGCAATTTAGCCATAAATGAATAATAGCACACGTGCTACTGGTTCCTACACCTCCCTTTACTCAATTTGCTACTAATTAGTACATAGTTAATTGAAATTTGATTATTTTAAATATACTTGATGTATTTTTATATATCTTGTTAAGTTAATTGATATTAATTAACTTAACTCCTCAGTGATTAACCAGTTCTGTTCTCCGAATCCAAAATTGGACTCGAGTGAGACATCAAGGGAAAGATAGTCCTAAATGGGTAGAGACAAGAGGGGGGTGTAAACAATTAATAATAAAAAAATTTCTTTAAACATGCAATCTATACATTTTGTTGTCTAGTTGTAAGGATCTAAAATTGAAGCTTTGAAATTGGTTATCAACCAATCTTATTTAATTGTTAGTGCGGTAAGAATTATCAGTTATCTTGAATTTTATTGTCTTTAGGAAGTGCTTATAATCTTGTGAAGATGGAGCTAGTGGAAAGTGTTTTCTCGTCTTATTGTGTTGTATGTATTCATGTCTATATATTGAAAAGTTAAAGAGACACCGCAAATATTACCATGTAGAATGATTTAACTTTTTTCTATTTCACAAGAGAAGGAGAAGTTTAACCAAATTATAATACTTACTATAAAAGTTTATATTTTTCTAAGGAAAAATAACCTTGGAATTTCAATGTAAAAAGTACCCTTAAATCATCAACCTTGGAAAGAAAAAACACTTAAAATCAACAAAAAACAGCTTGGTCTTAAAAATTTGACTATATTTTTAATACTTTTCATATTGTAATTACAATTTAGCTTATCAAAATTGATGATTAATTGCTTAAAACTATATTAACCACACCCGCGCGTGCGGTTTACGCGCGGGTGTAGCTAGACCACCTCATTGCTTTGAGGGTACTTTTTGCCAAAATTTTGATGATTTAAGGGGTAGTTTGCTGATACTAAGATGTGGAGGATATTTTTACAAATACTAAGATTTCGTGAGTATTTCTGCAAATGTCCATGATTTAAAGGGTATATTTGCAAATAACCCAATATTGCTTCCCACATCTTGTAGGAGTTAATTGTGCAAAACGTAGGAATTAAGAGGCGTAGAGTGTAAAACACAAACAAAGCCTGCGAGCTCGACTGGCCGATTTCAGAAGCCCCCAAAACCCTAAACCCCTTTCTGCATCGTCATCATTTACTTAAAAAAAAAAGGAAAATAACAAATCCAATCTTCTTACATTCTCCAATCCAAAAATCGCCATGGCGGCCTTCAGTCGCCGGAGCCTGACCTCAGGCTACACCCTCATCTACCGCCACCGCCTCCTCCCTTCCTTCTCCCATCTCCTCCCCAACTCCGGCGACCGCGACTCTTCCAAGTCTCAACCCCAATCGTCTCCTTCATCCACATCGCCGTTTCAAAACCCTAGAATTCTAGGCGCGTTCTCTCTGCCTCTATCTCTCGATCCCTTCCATCGATTCTACTCCTGCTGCTGATTCTTTTCCTCCCGTTGCCGCGCTCCAGCACTTGATTGATATTGTTCATACTTATAGCGGGGTTAACTGGTTAGTATTTTGTTACGTTTCAGTGTTCGGCATGTTGAAATCTGCTAATTGGATAGGAAATTACGTGATTTGGTTGTTATTTTGTGGTAGGTGGGCTTCGATTGTGTTGACGACGATTTTGATTCGTTCGATGACTGTGCCGATCTTGTTAAATCAGATGAGAGCTACTGTTAAATTGAGTGTGAGTTGCTCCGTTACACTTTATTTATTTTTCATAATTTATGGTTAAATTGTTTGAAACTAGAAAGTTCGCTTTATGTGCAATTGATTTCTTCATTGGTAGTCACTTGTTGTTCTTGCATATGTATGAATTAGTGTAGCATTGTGTTTGCCATGTGGATGGAATAATAATTGGCCATTGCATCTGTTAAGAAGGAAAAAAGTGTGACACTAATGTTGGCAGTTATATCGAGAAGATAGGAAATTTGCATGCATATATGTATGGAAGATTAGTTACTTGTCTATCAATGTTGTGCTTTCTGAAACATTAAAAGTGTGTTAACTTAATCGAATTCACCACCTTTAATTCCCATGTCAATAAAAAGTACAATCTGAATACGCAGATAACCTCCACCTGTTACTCTAATGCCCACAATTCCTTATCCCTACTTTGGGAAGTTTAAAGACAATTTTTCTTGTATGAGTTTCTGGGTAGGAGGCTTTATTCCGTCATGAACTGTATCTCAATTAACTAAAAGTTGTTAATGTTTTATACTATTATCATGAGAATTGAAGCATTGGATTGTAAAATTCGACCTTTCAGAAATGCAATGTCTTTTAGAGCTTCTTTTAGAGCTTTAGGAGATCAAGATCAACAAACAAATATCTGTGTTACCATCCTAAAAGCCCTCTCCGATATAGCTTAATAGCATGGGCATGTAAGAGATGCAATAACGGGTTGTTCGGATTGCTGCAAAAATAAAATGTAGCAAATGTTGACGTATCATTTGTTTCTGGAAATCAACTTTAAATCCATTGCTTGGATATCTGCAATTTTATTGTGGAAAATGCGTTTCCAATGCAATTCCAATGTTTAATTGAAAATCAGTTGGTGCAAAATCTACGTGATTCATAATAGTTGGAGATTGTTTTCTCTAGATTGAATTGGAAATATGTTTTTTTGATGAGGTGGCATTTACTTTTATCTTTTACTTTCATTTCTGGGAAGTTGCAGCTTTTGCTCCCACCACATCAGCTGCAACATTTGCTGTAATTTTTTTTTCCAGCATATTGTAATTCTAAACAGAAAACACAAGAAAAATACATCTGACTACTATTTTCTTTTGCATGTCATTTCCAATTTGCCCCTGAATGGAAATGATCATATCCTCGCTCTAGTCAGTGAAATAGCTTGACGCCAGTAATAGATTCAATTGGACTCCAATTACAATAGATAGATGAAGGGAAACCTGCAGTAAGAAATTGCTCCTAAGGTTGGCTGAGACACGTTTGAAAACCATGTACACCATTCTTTAAACTTCAATTGTAAGTTGATTTCTAGCTTTATTGACAACTTCGTAGAGACCTCGTGGCTTAGGTCAATTGGTTGTGACACGTTGGCCGATAAACATTGAAAACCATGTATACCATCCTTGAAACTTCAATTGCAAGTTGATTTCTCAGCTCTATTGCCTATTTGATGGACGCCTTATGGGTTGGGTCACTTGTGGGATTGATTTGTTTTCATTGTTCCATAGTTATTTTGGAAACTACAAAATGTTCAGTTTGCATCTGAACCTAAATACCATATTACTTATATATCTATATATTGATTTACAAGTGACCAACCTAGACCTAAATATTCTCATTTCCAACTCACACCTAAATACCTACACGCGCGCGCGCACACACACACACCAAGCAGTCAAGCAACATATTTGGTGCTTGGCAGTGAGGTGGTCATTTTTCATCCCCTCATTCAATGGGTGTGGGGGTCATTTTCAAGTGGTCATCTTTAAATGTGTAGATGAGAATGAGTTAACTCATTACCAATCAACACAATTTGTGCAAATAATGGGTATGCTTATTACCAAGCACCAAATTTGGTGTTTGGTAGTGAGGTGGTCACTTTGCATCTTCTCATTCAATGGGTGTGTGGACCATTTTCAAGTCGTCACCTTTAAATGTGTGGATGAGAATAAGTCAACTCACTACCAATCACCAAAATCATGCTTGGTACCAAGCATACTCATTTTTCTCTCTCTACACACATATTATATATATATATATATATATATATATATATATATATATATATATATATATATTATATATATATATATATATATATATATGTGAGTGTAGAGAGAAAATGAGTATGCTTGGTACCCAAGCACAAAAGGTGGTGCTTAGTAGTGAAGTGACATAATCCCCTCACTCATTCACAATGGTTGCATAACCGCTATGCACTCCTCAACCCATGTGAATGTGGTCCCCCATTTGAATAAGTGGAGGGATTGTGCCACCTCACTAGCAAGCACAAATTTTATACTCTGGTACCAAGCATACCTATATTTCTCTCTTCTCTCTCTCTCTCTCTCTCTATATATATATATATATATATATATATATATATATATATTATTCTCTCTATATACATACACACAAACATATATATGTATAGATAGATAATAATATATATATTATATTTATTATTCTCTCTCTATACATACATACTAGTTCCAGACCCGTGCGTTGCACGGATTTGTTCATTACTTGAATATTTTCAAAATAGTATAAGCCACAAGTCTACATAGTTTTATGCACCAGAAATACAAAAGAAATTATAATTTTTAATAAAATAAAAATATTATAGGATTGTCCCATCCATTACAAGTCAGTCAGAAATTACTATAGAGGATAATCTCTAAATTATAGTTCGTAGCAATATATTGAACACAGGAGCTCCCAAAAAAAACACACACGCTAGGCATATACAATTGAATTCTCTAGCAAATAGGGGAACATGATTATATAACATGTCTACAAAGTTGGCAAGAGACATGTCAAATGAGCCAGCTATTAGAATACTATTACCGTAGTATAAAACTGAAGTCATAAAAAAGAAAAACATAACCAGATAAATATTTTTGTTTCAAATCTCAACATTTTGAATATTAACCAATCCATATTAAATAAAACTAAAGTCATAAAAAAGAAATTAAAACTAGATTAACGTTTTGGCTTTAGGGGTTGTTTGGCAAATTGAAAGTGAATTTAAAATATGTAAGCTATTTTTTTTTTGCAAATGATTTTTACATCCATGTTAGCATGCAAGTGAAATACAATATTTGTTTAAAAAATTAAATTATTATTGAAAGTGCTATGTGAAGATGACGTGACAAAATAAGATTAATTAGAAAATATAATTAAAATCATTTAATTAAAATTAGTTACTGTTTTTATCACTTTCGTGTGACTTCACCACTTTTTTAGGGGAAGTCAAAATTGCGTTAAATACTATGTGATAACTTTTCTGCATCTCACTTTCATAACCGTTTGCATGCAAACAAACACCTAATTTGTTAAATGAAAGTGATTTTCTCATTTTCATTTTTCTCTTGCATGCAAACGAACCCCCCTTAAATCTTTAAAATAAGCAATCCAAATATGTTAATAAACAAACCCACAGGCATATAAGGAACAAACTTAGCCAACAATGAAAATCTAAAAGCAAAAGGTTAAGCTTAATTTGAGGTGCTTCCTAGAGAAAAATAAAGAAAATTGAACAAAGGCAGCAACTTTATTTGAACCTTGCTTAGAAAGAGTATCCATAAGCAACTTGAACTCAATCAAGTCTCTAAACAATCAGATTTCACATCAGCAACTTACCAGAAAAATACTTAACAATTTTGACCCGGTGCAAATTTGTCAAAGGAAACAAAGCAAACTAAAGAATCAACAAAAATTAATAATAATAATAATAATAATAAGATCACATGCATAAAAAAGGAAATAGAGGGAACAATCCATTTGGATAAGGCTTGTAGAGAAGTTCATCAAGCTCAATATGAACTGTAGCTTTAAAAAAAATAACAGCTTAGTTTGTATCAACAATGACCCTCTGTATCATCAATGACATCCTAGTTTCAGCACTTTCTGACCCTCTGTATCATCAATGACATCCTAGTTTGTATCAACTGACCATCGTAAAAGGAAAGTCAATACCACACCTGACTATCCATACATACATATATTCAAAACAAGATACAAATTAGTAATAAGCTTACACATTAGTAATAAACTAAAATTACCGATGCTAAGAGAAAGTAAATTTCCATGCAGCCCAAATATCCAAATATCTAAACACAAGACAACTACGCATAATGCAAAATATTTTATAATTCATCTTTGGCCTCTTCATGCAGGTAAGAGGATAACATGACTAATAAAAATATTCCCAACCAAATTAAGCAATACATATGAAGCCTAAAAACAAATAATATTTTTGTAGTAGATATTGTATCAACAATAGAAGTATACAAGGAGTATTTTTAAACACCGCTTCACACAATTACAGATCAAAAGTAGCATTTCTGAATAATTAAAAAGTTATACATATGGTTTATAAATACCCATAAACACTGAAACAAAGATATGCATAAAAAACTATATATGAAAGAACGATAAAGTTAAGACAAATATGGACTTTATTGAAAATCATACAAAATATTGACTACAATAATTTCCCTTTTCACAAAAAGCCAGAACAACAAAAAAGATTGGAACAAACAAAGATGTCCGAGAGAAATCAAAGGGAAAAATGAATAGAAAGAGAATCCATGTTCATAAACTCACTACTATTTGGTTTGGACAGAAGGAATGTGGGAGAGAGAACGTTAGATAGAAAATTAATATATTTCAATGTCACACAGAGATGAAAGTATTTTCTTTAGGGAGATGAAAAGGGTGAAGGAGCAGGTTCAGTCCCCTTAGAATACTGAATGCAATTGTGAAAATAATAGTGAACTTGAAAGAAAGGGGAGCAAGCATTAAACGGTGGACAGAGTAGTAAAATAATAGCGATCTAGAATTAGTACAATATATTATGAAAAAAATAAGATAATTATCATTAGTCTATTAGAAATTTGCATAGAGAAGAGTAAGAGTCATTTTGCTAAAAAATGGAAAGATAACTAAGAAGGAAAAATTCTTAGAGGTACAAAATGATAGTAACCAGTAGGTGGTTTCTTTGAGATAGAGAACCTTTTAGTCTAGCTGACACCTCTGAAGCACGGATTCGTCCTCGGAGGTCACGAATCCGTGTCCGACTCGAATCGGACACGGTTCGTCACGACACGTGTCAGACACGGTCAATCCGTGTCCGACACGGGTCAACGGTCAAATTAGGTTCGGGCACGGTCAAAGAAGCTCCGACACGGCTCGAATTCGCCAAAGGCCGATTCATTCGGGTTGCGGGTTTGGTTACTAAAATCTAATCCGAACCGTTTGATTAAAAAACCCATCCCTATTTCTCAAATCTCTCGTTCGATTCGATCCTTAGCTGACTCAAACGAAAAGATAAGAAAAACCCCTAACCCTAACCCTAATCCTCTCTCAATCTCTCAGCTTTCACTTCATCTTGAGGTATTTTTTGTTTACAAACTTGTTATTTTGTGATAGATTCATATTTTAGATTGTTAGTTGAATTTTATAAATTTTTCTATATATAATAATATTTTTTTTAAATCCTTGTCGTATCACCGTATCCTATTTTTTTGGATTTTATCATATCCCGTATCCGTGTTCGTGTCGTATCCGTGTCCCGTATTCGTATCCGTGCATCATAGCTTACTATATCACCTAAGCTGGATACACCCATAGGGTCATCAAGGCTATGCCAATAAATCAGGTTTCTGAACACTTTCAAAGTGACATATTCTGATCTCAAGATATTCCCGAAGGTTATTCTAATTTCTCTCTAACAACAGCAGGCTGACTCCAATACAAACTGTAGTTTTAGGAATCAACTGAGTAACATGAGTATGGATCGTGAAATTCAGAAGCTAAAGGTGACTGACAATGGTTTAAAGCTTAGACCCTTTAACCTGGATGGTAGTTGGAGACTTGGAGTTACATTTGGTCGAACCATCTGAAACAGCTGAACAGAGTTTCACAGGGTACATGTAGCAAATAAATTTTAGGAAAACTTTTCCTAAAGTGATATGTTAGGTTCAATCAAAGAAAGCGCCTTCAAACGATATTATACACAATCAATTTACTTAATCTATTCCTTTCATATTAATCTATATTTTGGATTGTATATAAATAAAAAATTAGGCATGTTGGGTGCCAATTACTAATGCATCGAGTGATTGTAAATTAACGGTTTTATGACAATACAACTAAATTAGGCAATGAAAAATATGTGTTAGAAGTATTGAAACATCATGATTTTTATTTTATAGATACTTTGAGACATTTAAATTCATAATGAATAGAGTGAATCAAGTAAATTGATTGCATATAATGTAGTTTTAAAGAGTCTTTCTTAGATTGAATCTAAGGTGTCATTTTAGGAGCACTTTTTCCTATATATATACGGAAAAATGTATCTAAGCTAATAACCCATTTTGTAAAATGAGCTGCCAAGCCTATGTCATGTGAGCCCCCCTTGCTAGTCACATCGGTGTAGGGCTCACATGACAGTGGGTTGGCAGTCCATTTTGCAAAATGGGCTGCTAGCTCATAACCAGTTTCCTCTTTGTATATACTCATGTTGACATGTGATGGATATCAATTATATATAGTAAAGTTCTTGTAAATTTTAGTGGATAGAAGCTATTGTTCGCCAACATGAATCTCAAAATAAATCTAATAGATAAAAAAGTTGGTGAAAAGAGTCCTCAGTCAATTTAAGTTTATTCTAGTTTTACACACACACTCTCAGTGAGATTAGTTGGATGAAATGTACAGCCACATGTGACACATTTTCTCTTTGTACTTCACAACCATAGACGAAGGGTTGAGATGCATCCACCTTACCACCAAACACCAAGTTTATGCTTGGTACTAAACATACGCATTTTTCTAACCATACGACTCTCTCTTGGTAACTCATTTAGTAAAATGGACCATCACCTTATACCCATTTTCTATATGTGTGTGGGAAAAGTGTTCCCAAGGTGACACCTTAGATTCAGTCTAAGAAAGCGTATCTTGATCAATGTACACTATTTAAATTAATGATCCATTCCATTCATCATGATCTAGATATCTCAAAATATCTATAAAATAAAAAAGCATGATGTTCTAATACTTCTAACACATATTTTTCATTACCTCTTTAGTTATATTGTCGTAAAACTATTAATTTTACAATCACTTGATGTATGAGTGATGCATAAGTAACGACAACCCAATATGCCTAATATTTTATTTATACACAATCCAAAACATAGAAATCGAAATGAATGGGGTGGATCAAGTAAATTAATGGCATATAATGTAGTTTTGGAGGCACTTTCTTAGATTGAATCTAAAGTGTCACCTTA